ATTATATAGTTGAATTAGTAGTATTCTAAGAGGTGTGTAAAAGCTTGTAGATAAAATCTATTTAAACGATTGGACAAATTAATAAAAGTTAGTTCTTAGTTCCTAAGGTTAAAAGTATAACGGAAATCGAAGGCGTACGAATTATTGCGAGATCGTAGATTCGATCACAACGTTATCTTATCACGCGGGAGATTGTGACTAATGCTACATGCAAAATTCATATCTGATGAAGGAAATATAATCCCTGAGTCTAATAAATCTGGAGAATATGGAAGAACTCTTGTCAAGTTTTGATTGCAGTAGCCATTTTAAAGTAACAGTTACAATAATAATAATAATGCTTAAATCAATTACTGTTCGAATCGATGCAGGATTATTAAAATTTCCCGAAATTTGGATAATGATATAAACGTAGAAATATTTATGTGATGGCTGTAATTTATTTGGTCAATAAAAAATGCTTCTCACAACGGCTGATTAAATATATTTAGTGTTATAAAATGCGATGTAAATAAAAAGAATTGGAAATAATATTGTTGATCTACAGAATTATCAACAACACCAAATTTTGATTAAAAACCGGCAGAGTCCCCTACTGAGCTGATAATATCTACCATTCGGATCGAATCCATTTACGTTTCAACATAATACGGGTGATGTTTTAAACTCGAATAAATTTAGGACTGTCACGGTACGCCGTTACTAATTAAGTAACTGTAAATTAATGAATGCTTATGAATAGATAAGATAAGGTTATGTGCTATGTTTTAATGCGCTTGTAGCTGATAATAGGATGGTAGAAATGAGATAAAAATAGAAGTTGTTAGCAGTTAATTTACTGTAGGTTTATGAGGTATGTTAATCTCTAAAAATTGAGCTGTATATGGACGAAGGTTAAGCGTCTTAATACCTGATAGCTTGTAGCTATCTAAATCTGAGAATATCGACATGTATATTTAGTAATGGTATTATACTAATTAATGTAACTTATAAAGCATGAATTCTCACTCGTTAATATTGGAATTCACTGTAGAAACCTATTTAAGCGCGTGTGTTTGTAGAATAAAGTAAGTAATTGCTCAAGAAACGGTAAGACTCATATCGTGAAGAATAGTGTAATAATTAGTCAGTTGTCTGTGGAGATCAGCCGAGAAATCGAGTTCTCAAATACTTCTCTCATAGAAACTGAAAGTACTGGGAGAAATAGCCCAAGTTTTAAGTAACTACACTAGAGTTCTTTACTTTCCTTTGCCACAAGTGAGGGTTGTGACAAGGACTTAGGGCAAGTTATGGCTTAAAATATCAGAGAATTTAAATTATTTAACATAGCAGTTTGTTGAATTTGGTATTCACATAATATTAGAATAAACATACCACAGTACTCTTCATCTGATCCATCGTAACAATCATTGTAACCATCACAACGTAGGGCTCTGCTTATACACTGGCCACTTTGACATTTTAGTTCAGTAAATTGGTTACATTTCGGATAGACTAGAATTAAGAATTTGATATTAGCTACAATAAACGTGATTTTATCTAGTAATATGAAATATGNATACTGTCAATTATAATTGGATATCTGAAAAGAAGGCGACTTATAATTAATTTAGCAGGCTAAAAGCGTTAAGTTTATTCTTGTCAATATAAAAAATTGAAGCTTTACTTTTCATCAAAATATTTTTAAACTTATGGTCAATGTTCTTACTACAATTTTGCTCATCAGACATATCTTCACAATTATACTGAAAATTGCACCAGTTATGACTGGGAATGCAGAGTCCATTATTACATTTAAATTGGGATGGTTGGCATTGATCTGGTACTATCCAGGTTGTAAATTAATAAGAAAATCAAATAAGTATCATATGCATATGCTATGATTAGAAAGCCGCTATTTCATTATGAGAATCGCAAACATTACTGTGCCTATAAAATCCAAATAGTGATCTAGTATTATGAAAAGGATCTAAGTATTCTAGTATCATTAATTTTTAAAAGCGATATAATCCTTGCTTGAAGTAACTATTTTAGGTCGAGATTTACATATCCATGGTATCATCCATACTTATTTGATTTGCCGAAATGAATGTTAAAATTACGGTATTAAAGTAATCTATGTCTCTGTATGATCAGTTAGCTCCTCTTCTCTGTAGATTCTACTGATTGAATTAAAGCTTAAACATTTTATTGATTATAGAAAGGAAAATCGATCTTACGATAGTAAGCATTTGCTTATACTACCTATGCTACAAATTGTACGATAGTCAATACAGAGAGAAGCACTACCTATTAAAATACGAGTAGCCTCTGACCGAATTATTTCGGTATCATTTGAATCTAATTTCTGAGTTGATTAACTATTTATTCAACCAAAGTCTGGTAGATTTACTCTTAAAATATGTCCTGCGATAAACAGCCATTAAAATGAAAGTAGGTATATATTTAGTCCTTATTAATTATCAGCATTACATTTATCAACTCTTATACAGTAATACGAATTCTTTCTTACCTGATTTCAGAAGTAATATATTCTAAAATCTATTTTACTTAAGCCAATTCAACATTTACTAGTCCAAGATAAAAACATCTACGTGCTGCTTATTTGGCTGATTATAGAATTAGAACATTATGACAGGAAAAGTCTTACCACAGCCGGCGGCCCCTATCAAAGTAGTCTTATTGCACTGAATAGCTGCATTGCAATATTGAGATGTAGCAGTACATTGGCCTTCATAGCATTGAGCATTTTCTCGATTGCACAGGACTTCTCCTATCAACATCCATAAATCGGCCTTTAAACGTTCGAATATCAATTTATATTTATAAAATGTTTGCTAGATCAGGTTGTTGTATCAAATAAATCAAAAAATGAGCTGATGTAAGATGTTTTCCATCTAAGAAGGGTTGGAAAACATTATCAGAAGAAGTTGCAATATGTTTTCAAGATCTATTG